GGGGGCACTGGGGGGCAGCTCCCGAAAGCTCCCTGCCCCTACCCCCAGCAGCAGCTCCCCAGGTGGGTCTCCGGAGGCCGCGTCCTGCAGGCCCTGCCTCAGCGCCGCCAGCAGGGGACCCCCGGGCCTTTCTAAAATCACCGCAGCGCCGCCAGCAGGGGACCCCCGGGCCTTTCTAAAATCACCCAGACCCCTGGGAAATTGTCCCTGTTGCCTGCCCCACGACTGTCAGGCCCGTAAGTCGTCAAAGCGCAGTCCCAGCCACTGGCCCTGGGAGGCTCTTCAGTAGCAGTTATCAGTATAGGGGCTATGACAGTCGGTGGAGCTGTGACAGTTGCATCTACCAGGACAGAGGGAACAGGCTCGTTCTAGCGTTCCCTTCGGGATCAGGACACTGTCACCGTGTGGTGCAGCGTGGCCTGCTCTGGGGCCAGGGAGCCCCAAGAGCCATCCCAGGTGGGCAAATCCAAAGCAAGAAAGAACCAAAGTAAAGTCCCCTCTGAGGCTCACAGCTCTGAGCTGGACGGAGCGCCAGGCACGGAGCCAGCCCAGGCAACCCAGCGCAGCTGCCCGTCTGTGCTCTAGGGCGGGCAGGTCTAGACACATCCTGGCCGGGAGGGAGCTCTGGGGCCCGGGAGGCCTGGAAGGTCCTGGGTGCTGGGCAGCAGGTCCAGGGACAATCCGCCACCTCCCTTGCCCTTGCAGCTGACATGAGGGCAGGGCCATTGTGTTCCCTGGTTCTGATCTCCCTGCCCAGCTCCTGAGGCTGGGAGCCAGGCTCTCCCCACACCGTGTCTCCCTGCGCCAGGGGCCGAGGGCCGGGCCGGGTTAGTGATCCAGGCACTTCATGTCAAGGAGAGACGCTTTGACCTGCACTGGTGCCAGACGTGCCAGTACTACTGCCCGCCACGGACCGTCCACTGCGCCCGCTGCAACGTCTGCGTGGAGGTGAGCAGCCTGCTCGCCCGTCCACACGCCCTGTGCACACGTGTGCACACGCCGGCACAGACTTAGCACTGCAGATCTGCACTCCACCCACACGCCCTGTGCGTACGTATGCACACGCCAGCACAGACTTAGCCCTGCAGATCTGCACCCCACCCACACGCCCTGTGCATACGTATGCACACGCCAGCACAGACCCAGCCATGCAGATCTGTACCCCACCCACCTGCCCCTGTGCACACATGTGCCCATGCAGATCTGCTCCCCACCCACATGCCCTGTGCACACGTGTGCACACGCCAGCACAGACCCAGCCATGCAGATCTGCTCCCCACCCACATGCCCTGTGCACACGTGTGCACACGCCAGCACAGACCCAGCCATGCAGATCTGCTCCCCACCCACATGCCCTGTGCACACGTGTGCACACGCCAGCACAGACCCAGCCATGCAGATCTGCTCCCCACCCACATGCCCTGTGCACACGTGTGCACACGCCAGCACAGACCCAGCCATGCAGCTCTGCACCCCACCCACACGCCCTGTGCACACGCTGGCACCACCTACACACACGGATCCGTACTTCATCCGTAGCCTCACAGTCACGTACGCCACCCTGGGGGGCCTCCCCCTCCGGTTCCCACTTCCCCATTCGCCCTGGGCCAGGCTGGCTCTCGGGCACTGGGCCAACGGCTGCAGTTGGCCCGGAGGGGCCGGGACGTGGCAGCCCAGCCCAGCCCGAGCGCGCTCCCTGCCCCCCAGGAGTTCGACCATCACTGCAAGTGCCTGAACACTTCCTCTTCGTGGCCTTCCTGTGCGCCTACGACCTGCTGGTGCTGGCGTCCTGCCTGACGTACCTGGCGCTCAACGCCCGCCAGGCCTACGGCCCCGAGAAGATCTGCGCGTATCCTTGGGAGCGCAACCGGGCCTGGCACCGGCCCTGGGCAGGCGGCCGGCACGGAGCACCCGGCCCAGGGGTGTGGCTGGTCCTGAGCACCCAGCCCAGGGGTGCGGCTGGTCCTGAGCACCCAGCCCAGGGGTGCGGCTGGTCCTGAGCACCCAGCCCAGGGGTGCGGCTGGTCCTGAGCACCCAGCCCAGGGGTGCGGCTGGTCCTGAGCACCCAGCCCAGGGGTGCGGCTGGTCCTGAGCACCCAGCCCAGGGGTGCGGCTGGTCCTGAGCACCCAGCCCAGGGGTGCGGCTGGTCCTGAGCACCCAGCCCAGGGGTGCGGCTGGTCCTGAGCACCCAGCCCAGGGGTGCGGCTGGTCCTGAGCACCCAGCCCAGGGGTGCGGCTGGTCCTGAGCACCCAGCCCAGGGGTGCGGCTGGTCCTGAGCACCCAGCCCAGGGGTGCGGCTGGTCCTGAGCACCCAGCCCAGGGGTGCGGCTGGTCCTGAGCACCCAGCCCAGGGGTGCGGCTGGTCCTGAGCACCCAGCCCAGGGGTGCGGCTGGTCCTGAGCACCCAGCCCAGGGGTGCGGCTGGTCCTGAGCACCCAGCCCAGGGGTGCGGCTGGTCCTGAGCACCCAGCCCAGGGGTGCGGCTGGTCCTGAGCACCCAGCCCAGGGGTGCGGCTGGTCCTGAGCACCCAGCCCAGGGGTGCGGCTGGTCCTGAGCACCCAGCCCAGGGGTGCGGCTGGTCCTGAGCACCCAGCCCAGGGGTGCGGCTGGTCCTGAGCACCCAGCCCAGGGGTGCGGCTGGTCCTGAGCACCCAGCCCAGGGGTGCGGCTGGTCCTGAGCACCCAGCCCAGGGGTGCGGCTGGTCCTGAGCACCCAGCCCAGGGGTGCGGCTGGTCCTGAGCACCCAGCCCAGGGGTGCGGCTGGTCCTGAGCACCCAGCCCAGGGGTGCGGCTGGTCCTGAGCACCCAGCCCAGGGGTGCGGCTGGTCCTGAGCACCCAGCCCAGGGGTGCGGCTGGTCCTGAGCACCCAGCCCAGGGGTGCGGCTGGTCCTGAGCACCCAGCCCAGGGGTGCGGCTGGTCCTGAGCACCCAGCCCAGGGGTGCGGCTGGTCCTGAGCACCCAGCCCAGGGGTGCGGCTGGTCCTGAGCACCCAGCCCAGGGGTGCGGCTGGTCCTGAGCACCCAGCCCAGGGGTGCGGCTGGTCCTGAGCACCCAGCCCAGGGGTGCGGCTGGTCCTGAGCACCCAGCCCAGGGGTGCGGCTGGTCCTGAGCACCCAGCCCAGGGGTGCGGCTGGTCCTGAGCACCCGGCCCAGGTGTGGCTGGTCCTTGAGGATCACACACACATGCACACACACGTGCACACACACATGCGCACACGCACAGGCTGCGTCCCACACTCCGTGGCAGGGCAGCAGACGTGCCCTTTGGGAGCAGCACAACCGTGCCCAGCCCTGGCTTCGCGTCTTCCCTGACTCGCCTGCCCCAGCATCGTGGTGACCATCCCGGCCGCACTGTACCTGCTGCCCCTCCTCATCCTGGTGGGATCCCAGGCCAGCTTCATCACACTGGCTCAGCGCACCTACGAGCTCAAGGTACGGGGCGAGGGCGCCAGCCTGGCCTCAGGGCGTCGATCGCTCCGCCAGGCGGGCACGCGGCACCAGAGGGCAGTGCGGCTCAGCGAGACTGGTCCCGGCCTTCGCCCTGGGAAATCTGCCTGAGAAAACGCTGTGTGTGTGTCTGCACATACGGGTGTAATGTGCATGCATGAGTAGAGTTCATATGTGGGCTTCCCATGTGTGTGCGCATACATGTGTGTGGAGGTACCGTGTATACATGGGGTTCCCATGTATGTGTGCATATGGCTATAATGTGCCTGCATACATGAGCTTCCCATGTGTGTGCGCATACATGTGAGTGGAGGTGCCAGCATATATGGGGTTCCCATGTGTATGTGCATACATGTGTGGCGATGCCTGCATACATGTAAGTGGGGGGGGCACATGCCTGCCAGGGGGCCTGATTCCTTCCCTGCCCCGGCCCTGCCCCATTGCAGGGCTGCTCGCCCGCTCAGGCCCGCGTACATGAGCTTCCCATGTGTGTGCGCATACATGTGAGTGGAGGTGCCAGCATATATGGGGTTCCCATGTGTATGTGCATACATGTGTGGCGATGCCTGCATACATGTAAGTGGGGGGGGCACATGCCTGCCAGGGGGCCTGATTCCTTCCCTGCCCCGGCCCTGCCCCATTGCAGGGCTGCTCGCCCGCTCAGGCCCGCGTC